TTAAACCACCAAAGGCTTAGATATGCTGACTTTTATATGGGTCAAGCTCCAAATTCGCCGTATCCTACATTTCCCGTGATGCAACTTTATAGAATCTTTCAATACATTGACTGATATCTTCAGTTTGTAATGCTGGGTTTCTGTTTTATCTGAAAATAAAATATTTTTTTGACCTTTGGACAGCTCCCTCCAGATGTATGAAACAGTTCTCACCGACTGAGATGGAAATCTAACTAAAACTAAATGTGAATTGTGCTCAATTAATTACGTCATTGTTTTCTTTCATTGTAGACTTTCTTAAATCTTTGAAATTTTATCTTTAATAGCAACAATTGTTTGAGAACTTATTTAGTGAAATCCTATGAATGGGTCATTCATTTTCTTTCTAAAACACAGACGTGTCTTAACACGATGAAATGCTCAAAAAAGAAACAGGACTATGGATATGGGAAAGAGTATCAAGCAGATGGTCCCATCCAAATATGTGCCGAACCCCCCTCAGAATCAGGCGGGTGAGGACAGGTAAGCTATTCAGAACAATCACGTTCGGCTTGTTGATGTTCATATACCGTTTTCCGCTCAGCCCGATTTACTCATTTCCCTTAAAAAAGAATGTTTCTTATTGCAAACAAATTCAAGCCAATCAGAATTGTAACATACACACATAACGTCCCTGTGATTTATAGACCTTAGTATTTTTGGAAACCACCATTTTTTCCCCCCAAAACATACATCCATAACATCCTCTTTTTAAATGAGAGGATTTAAACGAAGATAGGCACAAAAAAAACTGCAGGGCATTCTTCAGTTAATCCAACTCTCCCGCTTAAACAAATATCTCATCAAATCCTTCAACTCCGAATCGAGGTCACAAGCCAAGGATAATGAGAACTATAACGTATGGAAAGGATCACCGGCGAAGGAGAAAGGATCCTCCCATCTGCTTTCCCCTGCTTATCCCTCAATCATTCTTGTCCCTCTGTCAGCACGTGTTCTTATCCGTCGGGAGCGCAGCCATTTGTCTCCCGCATTCCAGTGAGTGTGGTGGGGTAAATAATGGCCTGAAAGCATTTATTTTCCACATAAACATCATTAACGGGGAGATTCTCAAATGTCAACTGTCACAAGGCCAGCAGGTTCAAGTCACAAGTTGCGCTCGTTTAGTTTCATCATCCTCAGGAGCCTCATCAGGCTGTGACGTCTATTAACCTTCATCATCAGTGTCATGTGCATTAACACTAAACGTTCAGAGACAAAAATATGTATTGTTCTTCTATGTTCCTTGAAATGACAAGTGTGAGGACATGGCAGTGGCGGCAATCCCAGAGAGACCGAGGCCCGAAACCAAAAGGCAAACAAAAGATGCGTGTGTGTTGTTGGACTGAATGTATTTGGTGGCTTTGCACCTTGCTGACCTGCTTTTCTCCTTGAGGGGTCATGCACCAGCCGGCCACAATGCTATCAGCTGTCCCTTAAGGTGTCTGCTGAGGTCTACTGAGATATAAGGTGATATATAGCTTTGATATAGCCTGTAATTACTGGCCGTGAAGGCCACACCGCCTTGGGGGAAGGAAGAGGGGAACACAAAAAGAGGGAGGGAAGAGAGGCACTGGGACTCTGATGAGAAAAAAAGGGTCACTGTTGTTTGAAAGCACAAGTGCCCGGCCTCTCCAGTGATTTCACACAATGGGGAAATGGCAGTAGATCTATAAATGCTTTGGAGAGAGGCGGATTCAACAGACGCCTCAGCTCCCAAACAATAAGCTCCAAAGATTGCCCAAAAGGGAATAGCAATGATTGCAAAAACCACAGGCTGCCGTATGCCTGCAACACTATACAAATACTGGCCTCCCATTGTGCTGAATTAATTCTCGGTCGCGCGTTTCAATCACGGCATCATTAGCGTCCATCTAGCTCACAACTGTGCACCACCTACGGGTGACATGTTTATCCAGAGGCTGCGGGTTCGGTGCGGCCACGACGCTCGCGCCACAAAAAGGGGGAGGGTCGGCTAATGAAAGAGCGCCATTCATTTCACCCCTCGTCTCAGCATGGTGCGGGACAACCTTCATTTTGGGATGCATTACCAGCACTCACAGGCTCAGTGGCGCGCTATCACTCAGATGCAGGCCGCTATTAGCTCTCGCTTAAAAGTCTGTAATGGAACCAAACATCTTGCCGAAGAGGCCCCGTACACACCTCCGTGCGTGGGCCAAACTGGAGAAGGTAGCACTCCGGGTTGGTAGCTGAATATCAATGGGGGGCTGTTAGTGGCTGGGGGAGCAGGGCGGATTGAGCTGCCTGAATGTATATTGGCAGCTTGCGAGAGACAGTGACATGGTTGGGCATTTGCTGGTGATGGATGCTTGCCTGGCATGCAGACTGAGTCGGCAGCAGCGTGGCCCCTCTTCAGACGGGACGTGAATGCTAAATACCACACTTGCCAGTCACCACGACTTAACTGGTGCCAGCAGGAGGGGCAGGTGGTACACAGGCAAGGGGGAAAATAGGGAGCAGAGAAGCCACGAGAGGAAAATACTACCGGTGCATTCACAAGCATGCTAATTCGATTCCAAGGTAATGCTTACATTATTGCAACTAAACATGTTTATCTGTGTTAAATTTAACATAATCAGATTAGATTAATTGTCAATCGTTTGCAGTCTTTGCTGTGTCCAGGTTTTATAGATACTAACTACATACAGTTTGGAAAGGTGGAATCGAAGAAATACAAGTGTTTCCCTTTCATTTCAATAAAACATTATTTCCTCAGACGACATCCCATACTGCCAAAAGAACTTCAGAAAGAAGGCGCAGAGTTCTGTCACCCTTAAAAGCAGTGTATTCATATGTTTGCAGCTGTAAATTGGACCTTCATTTTATGTGCAATGTGTTGGGGCCAAAATACAGTATATCAAGTGCATCTTAATATGCACACTGACTTTTTGATGTCAGAACAGCCAAACCTGCTTTGAATAAGTACGTGGGACACAACGTTCTTAGTATGGGACATAATGTAAAGATTGAGTGGACTTAGCTTCGAGATAGAATGGTTAGAACGCAGTCCACATTGTGACTACTCACCACTTTGCTGTGACACGGTCGGTTACGGAGGGCAAAGGCTGTTTCGGTTTTATCAGACTGAAAGATTCACAGGGCAGAACCTATTTCAGGTATCCTAATCCAAAAATACATGGTTATGTTGTCCTGCCATAAAATAATGGTTATTAGACAATACAACCATTATTTTCTGTCTCCCTTTGTGTTCTGTGGTCTACAACTCATCCTTTCAGATATAAACACACAACTTCTTGATACTATTGTGTACATCATGCAAATGCTTCTCATGGTTACACCGTGCCTGTAAACATACTGAATGATCAATACAGGGCAGAAAGGAAACAGGAAAGAACTAGACTTGCCTCACTGCTGATAACAGCTCATTGAGATTTGAGTGGACACTATACTCAAGACAAACGAGTTTAAGAAATACTAAAATGTGTGCTCAGAAGCTACAAACCTGATCAGATCGTGTTAGCTGCATTTGTAAATGGACCACAACCGTGTAAATTAACGGTTATATATAAACATGGAACGTTGTTTTGCCCTCTATCACAGATCACATGGTCACCGCTGAAATCATGTGGTATGCAAAAAGATTTTTCTGCTCAAATTGTGTCTTTTCTTGTTGCACTCTGTTTTTCTTTTAACCCTAATGAGCGTAGCCGCAGGTGCCTAGCAACGGCTCTGATGGTCGGAGAGGGGGGGGTCGTTTGTTGTGCTAACCTCTGCATGCTAATGTATAAACGTGACGCTGTAGCCACAAATATCCTACAATACTCTCATCACAATGCCCTCCACTTAGCAACTTCCTCTCCCTCTGAATGGCCTTCTAGCATCACTGAGACGCGCAGGTAGCAACGAGATGCTATAAGACTTTCCGCAAGTACTTTATGTTGGTTTTGTGTTCTTGACAGTAGCAGGACGCGTTGATTCATTCCTGCAGGAGTTTTTAGTCTGAGTAGGCGGCTGGAGAACAAGGGAGCCACAGGGTGCATCAATTATCTGACAACATATTTCACACTACCTCTTTTCACCATCAGATGCTTTTCACACAGCTGATTATCCAAACTCTGTGGTAGCAAACTAAAAGGACGAGAGCAATTGTTTGATAAAGGCACAAAGGTCCATTCGTATTCTTGAAACCTAAAGCTTTGGAAATCAAAAGTGGACTAAAGTTAATAGGGAAGCAATTTAGATAAAGTCCATCGCTTGCAAGTGCAGCAATAAGTCAATCAACTATACATGCTCACTCCACAGCCGCCCTGAGACAAATTCTGGAGACCAGACTTCTTGGTGAGACCTCGAAACTTGTGTATATATTATCTTAATGTGGACCATCCATTATACTGCAAAAACCAAAGCACGGTAAGCCTACACTGTGTCTGCCTGACAAATAGTCTCCGGGTTCTCGGTCTGTGCACAACGGGGTCGTAACTCTGAAAACAGGACTCACAAGTGGCAGCAAAGCTTATCGAGCACATTTCTATTTGGAGAAATAACTGATTATATATTACTCCAATTAACCACTGACTTGTGTCGGAGATAATTCATGACCGATGGGGATCAGCAGACGAGTACGGTGAGGTTTATACTTCTTCAGCCAATTGATCCACACTGGGGACTGTTACCAAGCCAACAACTACACAAGGGAGGGTTTTCATATCAATTCTGTTTTTTCAATGCTACTAATGGCTTTACAATGTGAACATGTTCCCTCTTACGCAATTTAATTGAGATGTAATTTGTTCAACATTGTAAAATCTATGCAACTGCATTTCAATAGTCTACGATGTGGATAAGGTGAATAACTGCAGCAGTTTTATGAAGAGAAAGATTGAAATACATTTAAGAAGACCGACATTTCTATAGTTAACGAAAACATCAACAGATTAAGACCATTTAGTGAATTCATAAAAGAAGACTGCACGTGGCCGTACCTCTGTGACATGATCTTGTACGCATCCGGGAGGTAACACCGGGTGTTCTCCATCTGCGCTGGGTCGGCGTCACAGATCTTGTCGTCGGTGCGGCCGTAGTTGGCGCTCTCGATCATGATGACGTCCGTGCCCGGGCATCGCAGCTCGATGGGGTAGCTCTCGCACGACAGCTCCCTCCTCACCACCGCCATGGGGATGGGTGCTCGGCTGAAGGCTGCACAGGGAAAAGAAAAGACACTTCACGTAAGTGGAGGGGGTCACAGATTGGTGAAGGGTTTATTCACGTAGGGGTGGAAACAACTCCATCGCAGAGTTAGGTATGGACCAGAATTAAAATTGAATCATTTAAAAGAATCAATATAAGAATATACAAAAGTAGATGGGACCTGCAGATAAAAGGCCCACCCTGGTCTAGAGGGTGTGGGTGGACGGGGCGCTGGCTGTTTGGAGTGTGGGAGGATGAGTAATACCGCCGGGGCCCTCGAGAAGCGGGCCGTTGAGAAAAGAGACTGTGTGAGACTGACACAGATCAAAGAAAAGGAAATAGACACAGTGTTTACATGTTGGCTGGTAGAAAATAAAAATGAATTACACGGGCATCCCACCGAGGACTGAACGCACCGAAATCAAGCACAGTGTGTATCATGTAAATTGTTACCATATCCTTCCAAACCAGAGTTTATAAATCTTAAGGGACGCTTCATTCTTTTGTCTTTTCAAGTGATACAATGCCCTCCCTTTGCGCGCACACTGGCATGAGGTAGAAGGTCAAAAGGTGCTCGCAGTCTGTCTGGTAGAAATACGCCGAAAATGGCCCTAAGTGGTCGTTCCCTTTGACACGGCTGCAGGCCCGCACGCCCTCCCACGCACGTCTGCGGGGGCTCGCGCGCCGTCGAGCGTGTGCACAAAGGACTGGAGGAGTTCTGTGTTTACAGCGAGAGTAAAAAACGAGCGAGAAGTGTAAACATTGGCCTGAGTGACTGTAGGAGGACTGCGGCAGTTATAGATTTTTTTTATAAACATCCCTTCAGACGAGCGTCTGCGCTGCGAAAGCCACCACTAGACGACGAGCAGCCGGGGACATTCATCAAGGAGGACGGAAAAAGGCAACGGGATTTTCCACATGTGAGAATCGGGCTTGGCGATATCAACTGAAATCAATGTCATGATGAATTTATGATAGCATTTAGCTTGACACCAGTAACTGAGACCCCTTTTTCTTTTACGTACACAAGGATCTCAGGTATTTCCGTCGGTTCAGTGTGTGTGTGTGTGTGTGTGTGTGTGACAGAGGAAGTCTCCATTTTAAGCTCCAGTCGCTTCCTTTTACGCTGAGCTTCAAACCACACGGCAATTGGATGACCATTTGTCCCCCTGTTCAAAACAAATAGTAATTGTACCCAAAGTTGAAATTATTTTGTTGCACAAATATCAAACGGAGCCCATTTATGGCAATGTGATAAACTGCTCTGTGTCTTATTTATTAGGTGTGAGATTGATTCTTTTTTTTGGTTTATGATATGGCTGTCAGGTAAAACGGGTAGCTCATATTTCCTCTGCAAACTATAAAAATGACTGATATCCAAGAGAAGCTACATTTGACTTTTTTCAGCATCACGTTGAATCATACAGTATTTAATGAGCTAAGTGCAACAGTGCTGACAACAGTGTCCATGTGAGTTACTCTATTTGGAATAAAACCAAGCAGAATTCACGCCATAACCGACAGATCATTTTCCCCTCGTCTCTGCTTCCCTCTGCACAGTATTAATGCATTTTACAGCTCATTGATTTGGCTTTACCGTTTTATGGTACACAATCCAGGCAGTTTTCACATCCCCAAATGTCATCCAGATACCACTTCTTATCTGTCTTTGAAAGTGAACCGAAAACACGCGAGAAATCACAAAGACGGAAAGGAAAGGTGAAACAACAAAAGAAGCCCCTCATTATCTTGTCTCTCATTGTGTCTCAGAAATCCTCCAGACCCCAACACAGTAAAGCACACTCGCCATGGAAACACCACAAAGTGGAATAATTGTATTCATTCTGCTGATGAAAGCCATCAATTATCTCACCCCTAATGGGGAGATGTGTTTCGCCCCCTGAAAAAGTACTGGTATGGATCTCAACAAACTTCTTTGAAAGTGACAAGCGCAGAGAAAATGGATAATATAGGTTCACTTTGGCAAATACAAGTCTTGCTTTGTTTATTGATCAAGTCTTTTGTGTGCATTTTCTCTTTTTTGGAGAGCTGCCACCCGGAGAAGGGAGAAAAATACACAAAAATGTTAAATGGTTTCTATTATTTATAGAATTTTTTATTTAAATTTGAATCTTGACTAATTTGATTGCAATGAACCCTCTTTATGAATAATTCCTCCAAGCCTTGTTACTCTGAAAAAAAAGCAAAGGGCTCGATAAATGCCAGCTTCCCTGTAAAAAGCATAAAAATAAACATCAGAATAGCGAGCGTTGCGCCGTCAACATGGGCACCAGCAATCCCCTAATGTACGCGAGCAAATGCATGCCAATGGTGTCTCGGATTACCCGCCTAGTCAACAACTGTAGCGTAATTACATTTGTGCCCGGAGGCGGTGATTGATAGGGCTCATATTCCCCGGGTGCCAGAGGCGGCATCCTGCACCGCTGTCTGCCCGTGCTCATCACTGACGGAGCTATCAAAAATCCCGTCTTACGGAAAGTCCCTCCTCTTATCTTCGGCCTATGTTCTATTCTCTTCATCTCTCTTCCCTCCTCTCCGACTAACACGGGGGAGGAGTTTTCGCACACGGAAGGGATCTCTGCACTGCAGATTCTCCCGGGAGGATTCCTCGGCGTACACTGCGGTGTATGGGGATAAAAAGTCACGGGCCGAGGCAGACACTCGCATCGCAGAGCAGAGTAGCGGTTTTCCTCATGATGCCTACAAGTGACATCACTCAAATGAATATTTAGAACAATGCCAAAAGGGCAAAAGAAAGGTCAGGAAGGAAAATGGTCATTTGGAAAATGTCGACCCCCTGCAGCGCTTTTAAAAACAATTTACAGGAGAAAGAAAGCCCTTCGGTGTGGTGAAAGTGGGTTTGTTAATAGTAAATAAATTATACAGAAGGAAGGAAACATGTTGCCTTTAAAAAACAGAGCTTCGGCTCTTTGGTCGCTGGCACATTCTTCTGAATCAACGAACACAGAAGTGCAGATGGAGCGGAGAGAGAATGACATTTAAAAGTCATCATTAGTAACAAAACAGGGGCCTTAAGGGGTCTTGTATTTTCATTTCATCTCCCAAGAAAATATGTCAGAGACATGGAGTTAAGGTCAACTAGCACAAATTATCACAATGAGCTGAATGAGCCTCCGTCAGTGAATGAGCCTCCATCAGTGGAACAGATGTCGGGGACATGTGACAGCTCTCGACAACATGGCTTCAGATCACTTTCAGACTCCAGCTGAAGAGCGTAAGCTTAGACGCGGCGGATAATTTCCCAATAAATAATAATACTCCCCCTACAATTAGGCAGCTGGATAGTCTGGCAAAGTGCCACACACTGTATATCCCCAGTAAAGAGAGGTTGGGGAGGGGGGGATTTCTCGCCCATTAATAAGTGAGGATGTAATATTTTACCCTTTTAAAGGAGGCTCAGTGTCTGCAGTGGATACCAACCACAAACTGTGTGTGTGTGTGTGTGTGTGTGTGTGTGTGTGTGTGTGTGTGTGCAAGCGGAGCCTGCATTGGAATGAACTCTGACTTCATTGAATTGATGGAGGAGAGGGGAGGACATGATTCAACAGATGAAATGTCTCTTTTTCTAGCGCGACTCACTGGATAGACGCCGGCCCCCATAGCTAGTGAGTAATTAGTGCGTGAATCTGGATGCCATTATTTGATTAGACTTACGGCAGCCTGTCAAACCCACTTCCTTTTTTGCAATAAACGACAATTTCTAAAGGGGCGGGGGGTCATTTGCAGGACTACTTTGAAATTCAACGCATAAAGAAAGATGCATGAGGGATTATTTATCTTGAAGTGAGAAACAGTTCAGGCAAATTGTTCTCCCAAGTAAATTACGTTTACATACGGCCGAGAGCAAGTGAAAATGCCAAATTATCCAGGAAGTGAAGTATCAAAGAACTCTGCATTTCAGGGAACAGCATCAATAAAACAACATTTGTGCTTCATGAGAAGAATGTGAGGCAGGGAATTGGTGCAATCACTCTCTGGTCGCGTCGTCAAGGAGATCAGACAACTTGGGACAAAAGTTTCACAGCTTTGAAAGAAGAAAAAAAAGAGAAAATAAACCTCATTGTCCAAACGGGCAGCCAATGACAGACACTACCTGTAGATTGATGAATCCATGAGCTGACCACGGCAACGATCGAGACCCACTTTTCAAATGCGACGCGATAGCTTTTGACACCTTGACCAATGATGCTGCAAAGCACAATTAGCATTACTCATTATGACAGGACCCAGATATCTGTTTGACAAAGCGAATGAACGAGACATTTGTTTTGCCTCTGCTTGCGTGCACTGACACACATTTGAACACATTAATTGGCAACACACCACGCACTCGCACATTCCAGCAGAGGGGGGAAGACTGATTGAGGTTTCTTTGCTGGGCGGCGACGTGCAAATGCCAGTTTCAGACAGTCAGTCAAACTGCCCATGATGCCTGGAGGGAAATTAGCTCTCAGTGTTAACAAATTAGCCCAGAGGGAGGACTAGATATAGCGCAGTCATTCTAAACTACAGCAGCACACTGGATCGACCTCTTCATGTTAATCTGCTTTGTCTTTTGTTTTGGGGGGGCAGCGGGTGTTATGAGGAGCAACATGCCACCATCTACCTGATGAATCCGAAGAAGTAGGAATCGTCCCCGTGTGGCAGAGTATTGCTTTCCCCCGTCTCTCTCTCTCTCTCTCTCCAAAGCCAACAGCGTATCGACACCATGAGAGTTAATAACTGTGAAAGTTAATAAATTGGTCAGCAACCGGGAGGGGATTCTGCAGAGGACAGCAGCCCCCCCCCCCCCCCCCGGTGATACGCTTCCAATAGACAGTTAGCTCAGGTCTGTGTACACACAAGTAACAAACACCAGTTCCTTGCCATCACTCCATAAAGGCATGATTCACATACTCCGAACACAGGGGTGAAGTGTCTTTTAATCCAGCAAGCACTTTCATTTCATTAATCACTACTTCAATTTA